AATAACTGATGAAATACAGATGAAGGGCTATCATTCTGCTCCATGTTTTGACAAAAGAAACGCAAAAAAATGCGGATTTCGCAATGACTCTAAGTGCCTTTACTTATTGCAAACTTCACTGCACATATTTCTGCATCAACGACTGACTTATGTTGTCTCAAAGCTTCTCTCCTTTCACTTCCATTTCGGTCTCTTTTATCTTGTCTTTCTTGGTCTTGTTCTTTCTTTCCATTTTTACATCTTTTTCCGCACCTTACTGTACTTGTATGTCTGCTTATCTAATATTTCATCTTTGTTTCCTTTTTCCTTATTTTTCCTTGTCCTTTTCTCATTCCATTCAACCATCACCACCTCCTCTACCACACCAATTTAACTCCTTTTCTCCTCTTCTGTCCTTCTCCTTCTCCTTTTCCTTTTTCTTTTCCTTCTCTTCTTCTTCTTCTTCTTCTTCTTCTTCTTCTTCTTCTTCTTCTTCTTCTTCTTCTTCTTCTTCTTCTTCTTCTTCCTCCTCCTCCTCCTCCTCCCCAAATTTCTAGCAACTGAACTATCTCGTCAAAGCAAAACAAACAGCTGCAACTGACACCGCCTGAGCCGTCCGTGGTGCAATACCGGACCCCGAAGGAAACAGCTGGTGTTCAGAGCGAGAGCAAAGCAAGATTGAGATATATTCTTTCGGCGAAGGAAGGAAGAAATGTAAGCAATCAAAGGCTACGACATAAATAAAAATCGACATCTCTGCTACACACATTCCAGAAAGAGAGGACGAAGCCATAAGGGAACTTCTCTGTGTTGAAGTGAACGCGGCCAAGTGGACTGGTCCCTCAGGGTTTGAAAGTTATTTAATAATGCTCACCGCCGGCGTTTGCTGTTGCACGTGTCAAAGGGTTTGCAAAAAAACTGGCGTTATAAATTTGCTGTTTCTTCCTTTCACTATTTATTCCTTATTCTCCTCTCTCTATCGGGTCGGAATCTTCCTCTCCTGATTTGCCTTGTTTTATGCTCCCTCTTGTCATTTTCTCCCTACTGCGTGTCCCTATTTTCATGACAATTTCTTCCGGTGTCTACGCATATTTACCGCTCTTCTATCGTCCCTCCCCTTTTCTTTATCATTCACACAAGAAGTTACTTGCACTTTCTTAACATCTCTTCCCACTTCCTTCATTAAAATCTTTCCTTTTTCCATATCTTTTTTCCCTATACTTCCCTCTATTTTCCGTTTTTCCCGCCATTCTGTCCTTTTGAATCCTTCAAATGTGACCAGACAGAGCGCGGTTCGCAACGACGTGTCTTCTGCAAGCGGCTGAACCCTAGACTCGAATTCTGCGGTCGTATCCTGCAGTTCAATTCTGTGGTCGAAATTCATACACCTCGACCTCGAAAGAGGGCTGTGCTTTCAGGTCCCCTTCAGAATCTCATTGTCCGATGCCCCCCCCCCCCTCACAGGAGATAAACGTAGAATCCATTACTAAGTAGTTTCGTCGCATATAACCCACAGCCGCATCCCGATACTCATAAAATCTAGCAACACCCATTGTCCGCTGGAATCTGCATTAAACCCTATTACCTCATAAAACTTAGCAACGCGTCCCATACCCCCCCCCACCCCCATCTCACCACGCTCCCCGCCCCGTGATTCCATGCCACATCGCAAATCAATCTTAAGAGGTGCCACGTGACATGAAACGGCCGAGGTATATGGCTGGGTAGGCGATGCCACGACGGGTCAGATAAGCTATCGGGCAAGTGGAAGGCAAGACCAAGATTACAGCGGGACTTTATCGGGCGAGAGTTGCCGCGCACCCTTCCCCGACCTCACGGCTGCCCTCGCTCCCTTACCCCGCTGCTCTTTTGTTTCATTTTCCTTTCGGCGGCAACATTATACATTGATTTTTCCTCCTATAGTACTGGTGTAATCTTTTTCTTACTGCTCTGCGGTTGTTTCTCTGTTTCTGTCTGCCCCCTCTCTCTCTCTCTCTCTCTCTCTCTCTCTCTCTCTCTCTCTCTCTCTCTCTCTCTCTCTCTCTCTCTCTCTCTCTCTCTCTCCACCCATTTAATATTACATTCCTCCTTTCCCTCTTTTTTCTAATCTCTCTCCTATTGTCTCGTCCTTACTCCATCTAATCTACTATTACTCTCTTCATCCTTCCTTTCTAACTCTTTCTAACTCTCCCCACTCTTCTTTCTCCCTTGCTGACTTTTCCCGCCTCTCTCCCTTCTCGTCCCCACCGCTTGCCTTCCCTCTGTCCTCTCAACCCCTTCCCCACCTCTCCTAGCCGCTCCCTCTTCCTGAATGGGTCAGCCTACAGTATCTACCCCCGTTTCTGGTAACTGTGTTTTCTTTCCAAATAACTTCCTTTTTTTTCCTCCTCGGTCCTTGACTAACAGCCTTGCCTCCCACCCAAACACACCCTTCCCTTCATCTATGGATAAAAGTCGTCTCTTTTCACCATCACGAGGTTCCTCTGCTTTGAAACCCGGCTTTGTGATCGCCAAAGAATCT